AACACCATTTGTGAGCTAACAAATCCAATACCATAATGTGCCAGTACCTGTTTAGTGTTTGTTGGCCCCACTTAATTAACTTGTGTAGACGTAGCCTGAAGTATTTTTTTTAGAATATGCTATAGAATCTTCTGGGGCTGTATGATACACACCATAAAATATAAACAAAATTATATACTTGGGCTTTAATGCATTTTTGCACATTACATGGGCATGAATATTAAATATGTTATGTTGTCTGGTGAGGTCTGCTTGATTCTTTATTTCTGTGGCTAATCTTTAGAAATAACCTGTATTTTCTATTAAAACAGATCTCATGTGGGAATGGTCTACAACTTTTACCTAAAATTGGGGGAGCAGAACCTACAGGCATGCATGTCACCTACATGCATCTGAACCTGCCTGTAGGTGACAATCTCAAGTCAGCCTGACAGCAGGACCTTCTGGGGAATAGTTCAAGAGACATATGGAGATTAAGAACCCAAATAAGCGTCATCTGTATTTAAAGGAAAAAATAATTTTAAAAACAAGAAAGGAAACTCCTCATATTTTGTTTATTAGAAATATGAGTGTTCTTTATCACTCACTGCTCCCTTACTAAAAACAAAACAAACATGAGGCATAGGAGCAAAAGCAAGAAAACAACTAAATGGCCAGACCAAACAAAAGAAGAGGTATGAGGCTAAGATATTTTGGTAGAATCTAAATTCTGTTTCCTGAAACATTCTGTGCAAGGGGTTTCAGCTGACTTAAGAGGTTCAGGTTTCTACTATCCTATAGCAGAGTATGCAATTTTGTTAGAGGCAAATCCTGTGTCTTGAAAGATGAATTCAGGGGGGCTATTTTTCAGACTTTTCTCCTTGTCCTCCTTACTCCATGAGTGGGGTTTTGGCAGATAAATTCAAAATAACCACACAAAAATGTTGCAGAGTTTGAAATTGATGGAACATTACAAATCTGTCTGAACTTTTTAATCTCTGCTATTACTAATGTATTTTGCAGTGTTACACTGTGCTTGAACATATGAAGACCTGACTCAGTTCAAGTCCATCCAGCCAAAAACTGTGCAGCAGTGGCCAGAAGCAGATGTTATGGGGGAGTTTAAGAAACAAACGCTATAGAATGACTGTTTCCCAGCAGTTTTTTTCTAAATGTGGGAAATCAGATGTTTCTGAAACTTCCAGGATCCACTGTTTAACGGTCAACTTATCCTCTATGAATTCACCTAGTGCCTCTTTGCTCCTTTGTAATTTTGTGTCCACAGCATCCCGAGGCAAACATTACACAATATTCTGATGTAAAAAAGTCCTGTGGTCTGACATCTTGTAGAAGTTTTCCATAGTTCTTAGCTGATACAAAGTACTGAATGCTTGATACCCATTTAACCTTCTCCACATATTTCATGATTTTCAAGATCTGCAGTTTATAAAGACTTCCTCTCCCATCATTCCTTTTAAATGTTGAAATACTATGTTTTGGTTTTGCTACATTGAAACTGTTGTATACAAGCTCTGAAAATGCTTTCTTTTCTGCTTCGTGCTTTCTCTTCTTCTTCTTACCCATTTTGATGTGGGATTTCTGGCATTCAGGAATGTGTCATAGTGAGATTTGTCAGATTGCTCTTTCCTAATAGCATTCCGAGTGCTATGGTTGGAGTGGTGCTCTCTCTTTGAGCACCGGGAGGATGGCTTCCCAGAACTATCTACAGTGACCCTCTCATCCCTTTCCTGGTGGTAACAGCTCATTCAGAGCTATTGACTTCTACCCCAGAACAAGCTACAGAGAAACAAGCCTGGGAAAGTCCAGTCATTTGCAAAGCTGCTGATCCATATGAATGTTAATTGCAGTTAAGAGTCCTGTTGGGTCAGTACTAATTAATCATCACACAAGTACCACTAGAGGCTGATGATAAACTTCCTGAGAGTTTATTCCTTGTACACACAAAACTTCTAAGAAGAATGGTTTTGTAGACTAAACAGAAGAAAACAAAGACATTAATAGGGCTTTAACTTGGTCTTGGTGTTTGCAGCTGCTCACTGCCCTCCCTTAAACAAAGGAGAAGATGCCATTTTTAAAACAAGCACACAAACCAACTAAATAACTATACTAAACAAGAAAATAAGTGAGAGGGGAAGATATTTTGAAGAATCTAAATTCTAGAGAGTAATATTAAGACTAACTTAACATGTAAATCTCATTAAGAGGTATGAGACAATATAAATTATGAGCTTTGTCTGCTGTCTTCATTTTTACTTGTGTCCAAAAATGTTCTTTAGCATTTTGTTAAGCATATGAGTGGCTCTGACTTGATCTCACTGGGTCACTAAAATGGCTAAGAGCAGTGGCAGTTGTTAGCACCTTGCTGTGAGGGACCAAGCAAAGCCAGCACAGTAAAAATGCCATGAAGCTGAGAGACACTACAAAGCTCTCAAAGTACCAGGAGAAACTGAAACTTAGAGGCTCTGGTATTCATGTTGTATAGGTAAAAATCTCGAACCTCCAACTTATGCTGAACATGATTTCTGTTTGTGTTTATAATCAACCAACATCCATCCCCTCTGGAATGGATCCATCTCCAGATGTTCTCTAATCAAGCAGCATCAGTTTTCCCTTTCTGCCACCCTGGGGTTTGTTGCTACTGCAGACACCCTTTTATTTGTTAAAGGTATTAAAGTTATGCAGGCTTTGGTTTTTTACTCTTTCTTCAGTTTACACCAAAACATCCTTTTGGTATGGAATAACAACATATCTGAAGATGCCAGTACTTAGGCCAACACAGCCCTTGTGTAAATGTAGGGTTTACTAACCTGAGTAGTACTTCAGGCTGGAAGTGCTTGGGTTGGCATGCTCCCATGGTTAATACCTGCCCATATAAGAAGGCCCAGAAAAGCCTTCTGAGAGCCTAGAACTGTGCACTACTCCCCATACCCCCAAACTATGCTCAGCTGGGGTTTTCCAAGACCTATCAAGCCAAGTAGTGGGAATAGAGTTGCAGCAGCAAGGCCTGTATCCCTTGTGCAATGGAAAATTTGGAGAGGAACCAGTGACTGCTTTCTTCCCTGAATTCTGGTACAAGATTGCAGAGGTGCCTCTTCCCTCAGGCAAGCTACATCTCAAGGGTGAAACAGAGATGTAGAAACTGCAGGACAATAAAGCATGATTAATTTCTGTCAAGTGAATGCTGTGCTAGGACTCAGTTTCCAGGTGTTTTTAAGGATAATCTCTATATTGCTCACATTCTTCTGGGAAGAGATGCATTTCAAATAGTGCAATCTCTCAGGTCTCTAATTTACTGCATAGGTGTGTGGGTCAAGGGGGCTGTTTGCAGCCTGAACAAGATTAGCCTGATGCTTTTGGGTTGAAGAAAACAATTATGGCAATTGTGTGTGAAATGTTTGCATTGCTTGTCCTCTGTTTTTTCTAACCATCTTGCAGTTCTGGGGATGTTATCTACTCCTGACTTAAAACCTTGTGAACAATTCCCAGCTTTGTGAGGGGCAGAGCAGATTGCACACTTTTCTTTCAGCAGCTGTTCTCAGAAAGATAAGCCCAGTTCTTCTCATTGCCAGGTTGTGCTCCAATTTGTTCCATTACTTTATACATTTTAAGACAAGAGGAATTCCTACATTTATGAAACCATACCATGCACAGTTGCACAGGAAAATGTGCTCTTTAATTTACACTGCACTTAAAGAAATCAAGGGTAGTTTTAATCTCTAGAACTGTTCATTTTGACATGTAGCTGGGATGATGCTTAGGCATGGAGATACAAACAGGATGTCCTGAATAGGCTACTATGTAGACATTTCTTATATATTCTATGTGGAACTACTTTATGTGCCTTTTTAGGCAGCACAGTTGAAGATACGACATATTCAGTGAGGCACTTCCACCTCAAGAACTTGTCTCTCTTGCTGATCCCTCAAACCTCTTATTCAGCTGTTAGGATACTGTACAAAGTGAAGCTGTTTACAGAATTCGGGAGTGGAATACATGAGAAATGGCTGAAAAGCTTATGTCTGGTTCTCTGTGGGAAGTGCCACTCATCCCATCTGCAATTGCCTCATACAAAACACAGCTACACAAAATGTGTAGCTCTCTAGCAGAAGCTACACGTTTATGCCCAACAGCCCTAACACTGGTGAATAAAATTGTCTGGTTTGTCATTAATGGTGCTAAAATAAGAATGTGGTTATGCAGGAAACATTTTCTTCATGTTGGTAAGTGTCTTCTTTCCAAACAAAAGGTTTTAACAAGGAAAAAGATTGCTTTGGGTTGGGTCGGGCTGAAGCTCTGCTTCCAGCTGTTTTGGGTTTTTTTTGCAATTTTCCAGCACCCTTCCAGCCCCTCTACTCAGTCTGGGTGAGGCCACATCTGGAGTAGGTTGTCCAGTTCCAGGCTGCTCAGCACAACAGAGACATGGAGCTCCTGGAAGAAGGAAGTCCAGCAGAGGGCAAAAAAGGTAATTAGGGAACTGGAGCATCTCACTCACACAGAAAGACTGAGAGCTGAGCCTGTTGAGCCTTGAGAAGAGACAGCCAAGAGGGGAACTCAACAATGTCTATAAATATCTAAAGGGGTGAGTGCCAAGAGGAAGAAGCCAGATTGTCCTTGGTGATGGAGCAGGGAGCTTGGACCAGACGACCCACTGTGGTCCCTTCCAACCTGAAGGATTCTGTGATTCCAGAGGTGGAAATAAGTTTTGCCTTGTGTAATAATAATAACAATAACAATATAGTAATAAATCTCCTCGCGTTCTCCGCGGAGGAAAGACCCTCTCCCTCCCAGATCGCAGCCACGGCCTGTGTGCCCTGGGGGCCGGGCCGGGCCGGCAGGTGAGGGCAGGTCGCGCCTCAGCCTGCCGCGCGGCCGCGCTCGGTGCCGGGGCGTAGCGTGTCGCGATTGGCGGCGCGCGCCGGCCGCGGGCGGGGCGTCGCTGAGGGCGTCGCTGAGGGCGGTCTGAGGCGCCGCCGCCGCCCGTGCCCGGCCTTAAAGGCGCGCGGGGGCCGCGGCGGCGGCAGTAGCGCAGTGCGGGCGGCGGCGGCTGCTCAGCGGTGCCGGGAGCGCAAGGGGGCCGTTCCCTCCGAGCGCCTCGCCTGGAGCCCCTCCCTGCCGCCTCCGCCGCGCTCCCGCCCCTCGGGCCGAGGCTGTCACCGCGCCTGCCGCCGGGCGCCGCCAGCATGTTTGACAGGACGCGGTTGCCCTTCGTGGCGCTGGACATGCTCTGCGTGCTGCTGGGTAGGTCGGGGGGCCGCGCAGGAGCGGGGGGAGCCGCCCGCGGGGCGCCGCGCTCCCGCTGCACGGCACCGCGCTGATCGCATGCTCGCCTCCCCCTCCCTCCCGCGCCGGCACCACTCGGAGCGGGGCTCCTGCCGGCCCGCAGCCCCTGCCGTGCCTGCTGCCCCTCGCCCGCTCCCCCGCCCCGCGCCCGCACGGGGGGATCTGGTCTCTGCCGCGGGCCCGGAGGGGAAGGTTAAGCCCCGGGGGGAGGGAGCTGCTGCAGCTTATCCACTGACATCTGGAGCTCCCTCTTCTCTCTGATGTCCTTACTCTTCCTTCCCTAACCTAATCTGTCGAATGAAAACCGGTTGTGGCGAAAGCCAGTGCTGGATAGGTAGATGTCTGGTAGATACGTGCAGCCTGGGATGTGTTTGTTATCCCTGATGGGTCGGGAAGCTGTCCTGGAAGGGGCCGTCACCACGGAAACACACTTCATCCATCCAGGGTCCTGCAGAGGCACGGTGGTGCTCGGCAGCAGGGCAGGGATTCGCTGTGAGACTGAGTGCGGTCTCGGTGGAACCGAACCACCGCCGTAGCTGTAGGCTGGAAGCGGAACGAGGCGTTCATTAGTGTCCGTATGCGGCAAGGGAGAGACGGGTGTCGGGGCAGGAGCGGTGCCTTGGTGATGGCCAGGGACTGAACCGACACAGCCACAGCACACTGCCACAGCGCTGCAATGCTTGTCCTGGCTAGTGCGAATGTCAGCCCACTCCCAGTGTTACTTTCTTCTATTTCAGTCTCTACTGAAACCACTTAATGTCCTGCCAATTCGCATTAACTCTCTCCTTTTATGTAATGAGACAGTGTAAAGAGCAATCATGTCAGTTATCAATCAGAGAATGGGCAGTTTCACTTCGTAAAGAAGTGACACATCTCTGTATTGGGAGCTTGGGAAGTGTCTTTACTCTCTGGAGATACACTTCTTGGTCAGTCGTGGGAAATACTGATTTCGGATGTTTGCGTCTTAAGCAAATAATTTCAGTACTTAGCAATCTAAGCACTTTCTTGTCATATTCAGTGGGTAGTGTTCAGGCCTAGCTCATTAATTCCTGCTTGGCTGAATTTTTTGGCTGATGTTTGTAGCATCAGTATAAACATAGTGAACAACATTTTTCTCTCGCTGGATGCTTCAGATAGCAATGGTACCTATATCTGAATACCATTGAAAGCAAAATTACAATGAATGATGCATTGCTCTGGGGTAATGTTACAGGAGAGAGAGAGCTTTTGCAGAATGATAGTGGATCCATGTAATCCACTGGGAGCAATCTTTATTCAGATCAGGAGTTTTATCAAACTGATATTGTGAGGCTCAAACTTTCTTGCTGTCTTTATGGTGAGTGAAGCAGTTTTATCTGCCTGGATAATTGTAATTACAAAATCTTTATAATTAGACAAAAATTTTGCACTATGCATATGATGTGGTCTGTATGAAACATGTGGACATATTTTAAGTAGTCTTGAGTAATCAAGAGAAGCAAAATACATTGAAAGTAGGACTGCAGAATCATATAACTTGAAGGCCATCCACCTGAAAGTATGAGGATTTCTCCCTACTGCTGTCCCAAGTTATTACCTGGGAAGGTAGGATCTTGACTTTGCTCTGCAGTGTAATATCAATTTACATACCTTTCCATTCTCTCCCTCTCACCCTGTGTAGCATTTGGATCACAAATGCACTTATCTGGTGCCTCAGTGTGCTGGGGTGTTGCCAGACTTTTTATTTTCCCTTGGGCTTGTTTACTTCCTGAAAAGTCTGAAAAATGCAGGCAGTGCATAATATGAGCTTCCCTGATACCTGTAACTTTAAACACATTGAGTTACAGGTTTCAGTGAAAGTCTAGCTGAGAAAAAAAGATACGTATTTGCAGAATGGCAAAGACTCTGGATGTAGGACCAAGTTCTTTTCCTCTTCTGCCTGACTCTCGTGTAGCTGAGACAAGCCCTTAAAGGAACATAGGTCTTATCTGTGTCTAATGGGCTGTTTAATATTTTTACTGTAAAAAAGAATAGTTCCTGTTGATTGTGGACTTTAACTTTTCCCCTGCCCTTCCCCCTGCCCTTTGGTATCTGCTTAAATGACAGAGGTAACTGCCCAGATAAAGTGACTTGCTGTTTGGATAAGTGATACCTAGTATCTCCACTGCAGAGACCATGAAGCCTCCAACAGAACTGAAGGATTAAAAAGGAAGATCACTTTCAGTTGAGGACTGAGTCCTCAATCTCAGTGTGGTGGCCTGTGTTACCACAAATAGGGGTACCGGTAGTATCCTCAGAATCCCCAAGGTAACTTTCATCACTTGATACAGAGCCTTTCTTTTTTCTCCTCTTTTTCCTGTTTATTCTTTATCCAAAGTAAGTGGAAATGGGGAAGAAAAATTAATTTCTTTGTCTCAGTAGTGTTGGACTTGAAGCCCAATTGATATCCAAGCATTCCACTTGAAGTTGCACGGATCTGACACACCCATGGACTCACTGCAGCGGTAGCGGGTGATTCTGACTGTGTGTCTGACTTACTCGCTCCTGGTTTAGTCAGGTGATTTTTCTGTGGTTTCAACTTTCCCAGCATAAGTTTTTCAAAAGAAAGGGAAGGGGAGAAAGAGCTGTCCTGTGATTTGTGTGTGTCTCTCTGATTTAGCTGGATTTATTGAAAGGTGTGGTTTGCTTAAGATGGAGCTGAGGTAAGAGAATAAGAAAAACATCAAAGAAGAGCAGATTGGGAGAGGGGAAAAAAGTAGGCAGTAAAAACATCTCCCTCCATTAAATTATTAGCCCAGTTTGGTTGCCTGAAACTTGAGTCTAAGTTTCCTTTAACTGTCCTTAGGAAAGATTTCTCACTCATCTGCCTTTTTACTTACTAAAGGAGAGAGAATTCAGGGAGAGCAGTCTTTGGTGCCCTGAGAAAATAACTCCTTCATTCTTATCAGCACAATAATTCTCTCCTTCTAAAAATAGCACTGGTGCTTCAGCATTAAACTAGCTTTATATTCTGCAATCTAAAAAAAGCAAAAGCTGCAGGTTTCTGCAGTATCTGTCCTCAAATAGTGTGAGGAGGCTGTATCTGCATTCTGTGTGTGCTGATCTGCAGTGCTGGGTGTGTGTGTGCTGCATGTCCGCATGCAGCTCTGCAGTGCTGCAGGCAGCACCTCCCTTACTCCTTGTGCTCCAGTGGACAGTGCTCAGCTGCTTCTGGCACTGGAAAGCATGAGTGGCCTGGACTGCAGGATTTCTTTCTTCCTTACACTTCTGTTGCTTCTCTTTCCTAGGTTTTCTGATGGATTTCTCTCTCCTAGGTTTTCTGATAGACATTTTATATAGCATGGCAGAGATTGGCATTCTAGACAGTAGTAGAACCATTTTTCAAAGATAGATATTGAGGCTTGTTTTTTATGGTTTATTACACTTCCAAACTGTCATGTAAAAAAATGACAACATATTAGAATAGCTTAATTAGTCAGTTTGCAACTGGTGTTTTCATTAGGCACTACACACACACACACACACATGCATATATATATATATACACACACACACACTCTGCCACTCTTACAGGTCTATTGTTCGGATGCAAATCAGGCTCCTTTTTCATTAAGGCAGGTAAACAGCACTTAAAGAACAAAGTTGGGAAACACATGGCAATATCCATGCAATCAGTGGAAGAACTGCTAAACACATTTATCTCTAGATCAGACTCTCACAAAGACAGATTAAAGGAAGCTCTGCAGAGCTATAAGGAAAACACTTTTTGTCACAACTCTGGGATGACTTTCATAAGGTCTGTACTTGTTGAAATTCACACCTAACTTGAGTGCAGGGGTGGAACACTACACAACTGTATTTCTTTAGTCCCTTGCCTGACTTTGCAATTACTGACGAGCTATTATAAGTAATGGGGGAGTGTACTTGTCAATATGTGATTGCTGGTGTAATGCAAGAATATGTCTAACCCAAGATTAGGAAATTGAAGCCTTCTAAAGAATTCAACCCTTGCTGCTCTGTTTTACTTTTTTGGAATGTATTGAAAATAGTAAAGAATTACTTAAATTTAAATCTGCAGTGGAATATAGTTATGTTTGTGTAGGGATTTAATCTTTTCTTCCTTTCCATGTCCCATCCTGTGATTATGGGGAAGGTGAGAATATGACAATCTTTATACCCTATGATGATTATTTTTTTTTTTAAATGAAACTACTTCTGAGTAAGGGAAAGACTTCCAGTCCTTCCAAACAGAAGGACATGTGAACTGAACCCAGAAATAGTAAACATTCACATCACTTTCAGCTTGCTGTTTAAAGACTGCTGGAATGTTTTGTGATACATGACTACATGCTAAACAGCAGATGCATGTGTATAGGACACAATGAGTTTGCTTTTGCAAGGTGTGACCTGTGGGGGTGAGATGGCTGGACCACCCTGTACACCCTGCACAGTGTTTTGCTTTCAGTGCTGTTCTTCTGTCTTGGGAGTGTTTACTCGTGCTGTTGCTGAAGGCTGCAGTGTCTGTGGCAATTAAGGTATTGCTGTTCAGTCAGGGAAGGCTCCTTCTATGTGGGTTAGCACTTCCTGATTGCCCTAGTTCAAATAAAAACTCCTCCACTATTATTTGTGACTCACTGACATATGTGTCACCATTCTTATTTTCCACATCATGTGGGTGCTAAATACTTTTTCTTGTGCATGAATATATTGTAAAGCTGTAACAGGTACATGTGAAAGAGCAGTTTGTCTTCAGTGACACTATCCACCAGGTACTATGACTTGGTACTTACTGAATTGACACTCAGTTAATTGGAAACATAATTGTTACCTGAAACTGGGAAAATATTTCCTCTCCTGTTGTGCTTTCTTCTTTGCAACAGTCACTTTCTATTTTCCCCAACATAAAGAAAGATGCTCTACCAGAGACTTGCTTTCTCTTGATCAGAAGCCTGCAGAAAAAATTTAGGTAAGCATTCAAT